ATGTTTTCCCTGTTGAGATTTCGGTTCTCAGTTGCTTAATTTCTATTTAATAGCATTAGTCTGTGTTTAAACCACATGTACTTTGGGATGTCTCGGCTCGAATCGAATAGCGTCTATCGATTAGACGGCTTGTATTGAGACGTACCCAGAGCCGAGGTTTGATTCCGACGGCTGATATTGACCTGTGTACCACTGTGTACCACGCTAACCCACTTGACGTAAATACGACTCCGTATACCAAGACCCATGAAGAAGATCACTAGTTTCCGTTCAAGTTGACCTTTCGGTTGGTAGTCTCTCTTTTAACGTCTGTTTAATCTATCCGGTCGGATCTTCAGACAACGGTTGTCGAATACGGATAGTCGTTGGACGTGATCAGCTAGGAGAGGCCAGGTTTCGTAGCCACAGAGCAACAATACACACCCTTCCAGTGAAAGAGATATGTCGCGCCGGCTCCAGAGATGCCGCAAATTAGCAAACGGCATTCCAACTTTGGTTACGCATTGAGAGCTTTCCTCACCCACATCTCCACCAGCCGTTATGCAACTCCCGAGGTAGACATAGCTCTCGACTACTTCCAGATTGTGGGTACCGAACGAAAGTGCAGAAACGGGTTCCTGCCAATCTTGCAACAACACCTGGCACTTTCAAGGTGCAAACGAGTAACCTCAATTACCAAGCGATTCAGCGACTCTTGAATCGTCGGTGCGTTATCACGGACTAAAAAACATCATCGGCGCATACTCTATCTGCTCTATCTTCAAGAAGAAGCTCGATGCCAGTGTTCCTTACATTTACTAACCGTTTTTATAGAACATCACCTATGGTAAAGTTGAAGAAAAAGGGAGAGGTTGGGCAACACTATCGTACTCCACTGATCACAGGAAATGAGGATGAAAGTTCACAATACTCCCTGACCTTCCCCGAGGTCCGGTGTTAGAATGCTTTCAGAAGCAGGATATACTTCTAGGGTATTCCGTATCTCGGCAAATAGTTCCACCGTTCCAAGATCGATAGAGTCGAAGGTCGCTCTGATGTCCAAAAGCATGACTATGGTTTATCGTCTGTGTGTGTGGCGGTGTTGTAGTAGCTGACGAAGGATGAAGATTTGATCTCTGCAACCACAGCGTGCACAAAACCCGGTCAGCTCTTTACGGATTTGTCTTTCGCGAAATGAGTTTAGTCTGCGTAATAAAACGACGCTAACAGCTTCGCCGCCATTGGGGTAAAACTTATGCCCTTGTGGTTGGAACAGCCCCAACGACAGCCCTTCTTGTAGATGGGTGTAACAATCGATGCTCCCCACGTGTGGGGTACACTTTCAGTTTCCCAGATCTTCGAGAAGTCTGACAATCTCTCTCACGAGAGCTTCTTCACCATCTTTAAGGAGGGAACGTAGTAGGGTGTCTGATCCAGACACCGTGTGACGTTTCAGGGTTTGGAGTTCCTTTTGGATATCCGTTTCTGTGAGCGGTCCCGTGGAAAGTGACTAAGGAATTCTTCTACACACCCTCTCCATCTGTAGCTATTAGATTTATGAGTTCACATCTGCGCCGAACAGGACTTACGCCAAGTGGTGATGTGACTCTTTGGATGGCTGAAGTTCGCACTAACGAGTAACAGGCTGTGTTCTGGATATATGCTGGGAAGTCGATACCCATTATCTGAACGACAGCTATCAAGAATGTGATGACAATCGGGCGACAGACGGCCAAGACATTGGTTTGGGTCAGGATCACGATATCCGCCTGAGGTGCTTTGAGACGAAGCTCATGTAAACTATGATAGAAGGCATCTTTGATTGTATCCGGGCTACAATCTGTGGGAGCGTATGCGGAAATGTAAGTTGTCCTCAACGACTTTCAAAGATATGCACGTAAACCAGAATTACGTTATATGTCCCTATCAGTATGTCCCTACAGTATCCTCTCTTCCGAGTCGTGTCGCGCCTTATTGTTCTATAATATTGAGTCGAACCTACATTAGCATAATGTTTAGATCTAAACCATGGGGGGGGGGATATTTCAAACGAAACCCAGAACAACTTACTGCGTCTACGAAAACCTTTTTCACTTAATTGTAACCTCAACATGCTCTACCCGTAGTTTATAAAGGCTCATTGTCACTTCATGAAATGCTTATGGAGTGTCTCCTAACGCTTCTATTGAAGAAGTTTAACTTACTGCTTCCTTATGGTAATGGTGTTTACATTAAAATGAGAAGACGAAAGCCCACATTCGGGGCTTGGGCAGGGTAATGGGCCACAGTCCTCTAGGTTAGTTGCAAAACCCTTATTCAGTACCTTACGACCATCTAATGGTAATTTTCATCGGTTCAGTGCGGCAATGGCATAGCTGGGGCACCTTGGACATGCGAACCACACCCGAATTGTGCATAATCTGACTGGTTGGACACTGGGCACCATTGGGTTTTGATTTTCACACATCACTCCTACTACCTTTCGGATTAGGTGTTGCTAGCCAGAGGATCTTAGTAACCTGGAGGTACCCCGCTCACCTGTAAACTGTTGACTAATTCCTTTGGCTACGCACATTGTTGTGTTACGCTTTGTTTAGCACATAGTCTTTAGTTCGACATGTGAAATATGGAAAAATAAATTAGTTCACAGCATACAATGTGTGAAACCCTAATCGATTGTTCTGTCCACATGAAGTTCCATGTTTCCCATGAAGTTGGGTACCAACGTGTGTTTAGATTTAAATTTTCGGTCAATTGTCTGGTCGGTCGTTTTCATCTAACATCGATATCTTTCATCTCAGATATTATTCATTTGCTTGTGGTCGTTTCGAGTTTCATGACAGACAGTGGAACGGTAAGGTTTTTCCCTCCTGTTGCTGTCTGTCATTAGTATATCCGCTGTAAATGGAAGTTTAGATGGTTCCCCCTTACGGCGAATTTCATACAACTGCCGACCAAGCTGGAGGATTTCATTGCATGTTGTTCACATTGTTGACTGCAACACGACGATAAAGTCGGATGTTATTCAAAGCAATGTTGCAAATTATATTTTGATTAGCAAGGCAAATAAATGCGTCAATTGCAAACCATTCTAGCAATATTTTTGGTACGTTATAACAAAATACTGCCGGCAAGACATGGCTTTGCTCTCAAGTCAAGTTCCTTGATAAATAGGATCAGGAACATTTGTTGTACAGCGAAAGGATTCACCCTGCTTGTATCTAACTGATTCACTTTTCCAGTGTGTCCCTATCTTGATTGTCGTTGAATAGTTCATCACAGTTAATTTTGCTCTGGTGACAGCTTGATGTATTATCTTCGTATAATCATTTGAAATACGTTGATTTAAGGTGTTCACTAATGCATCGGTATTTTGAATGTTTCGGTTCGTTTACAAAGTGGAATATCTTTCGATTTGGAGATTTTTGAGGATCGGAAGTACTCTGATCAGCTTATTTCTCATCGTTTAGTTCCGTCATCCAGTGAGTTCCTCTCATCCCAGCACGATTTCATTTTCGTAACCTGACTTAATCGGTTTGTGGAAGAATGAATTTGTTAACTTGTTTTTTTGTTCCCTTCGTCTCCTTTTTGTTTAATCGAATCTACCTGATTCAGGGCTTGGATTTCGGAAGTTCCCTGTTGGATGAGGTATTCAAATGTTTCAGTTTGAGTAGTTCGGCTGGTGTCGAAGACTCGGTCCCGGATATCAAACCAGATCAGTATGAATCGACAGTTTCCTCTTCGCTGAGTAACACAACAGTCAAGACCACACTTCAGACTACTGTCACGGCTTTCACTGCCACCACTACAACGACGTCAATGAGTGTTGCCTGTGAAAGCCTCTCCGTACCTGTCGAACAACCGGTAAAGGAAGCACTACGTGATCCATCGCCCGTACGAAATGGCAGAACGGATTCACCTAGTCCGAAAAGGTTCGGTTCGAAGTGAGTGTGAATTAACTCTCCTTATCACAAATGATTTTGGTTTATTTACTGGGTGCATAACCCATCCGATTGGTTTCACAAACCCCGAAACGTGCTTGATCTCGTCAACAGTACTAAACCAAAAATGATCTCAATCAGTAGGACCACCTGAAACATCGCTGTCCTTCAGCTTACTACCCGCATATCCTCAGTTCAGTTCAATTTGTACAACCACTACCGTTGCACTTTCGTGTGCCAGTTTTGATTGCAGTCTTTTCGCTGCCCGTTAGGCTGAGGCAGTAAAAGAAAGACAGGAAATTCGAAAGTAGAGGAGAGGAGAAAATGGAGATCTTGATCTTTCGGGCATGGTTGGATCTGCGGTCGTAAAAAGCCATCCCGTTTACCTCGCAACGTCATGGAGGCACGCAGGCCATCACACCACGCCAAGATGCAGTCCCATCGTAATGGACGCATATCCTATCTCGTTAGAGGATTATGGAGTTCGTTCGTCCGAGACCACAGGCAATTGTCAATGAACGGATAGACAAGTTGAATAAATAGATCCAATGGATGAGGAGGAGATTTAATTATCCGACTACTTCCATAGTAGTTCTGGGGACAGAAGACCTTGAGGTTCCGATTGCTTCATACAATTTCTGATGCAGAAACACTATACTGAGACCACCTCAACATCTTGGTCCGTTTTCGTCATTCGATCGAGAAGGCTAATGGTCCTCCGGGTTGTGCACTATCTCCTTCCACCCGTCTGCTTAGCCTAGTGGATTATTATCTTTCGTATAATCACATCGACTCTGAGCTTTCATAGACGTCACCATTTTAAAAACTCGATTAAAACGCCACCGTAAGCATATGAATTTTTGCCTCCATAAACCTTCCAAACTACCCTTCTCGGCAAAATTGCTTGGGCGATTTCACCGCAAGATGGCGTTGGTCACACCATATTTCTCCCTAACCTTCCTCTCTGTGGGTGACGTGGTAAAAGAGATCCTAAGTCTCGGTTCGAAGTACTGTGAGTTGTATCTGCTCTCTGTTTTATAATGATGGTTACAAATCTGTCTTTGGTGAAGCGACTAAATTTAGACTTCAGTCGCTTCACTCTTTCTGGTGATCTTTTATGTAATCAGAATACTGACTTCACTCGATAAATTTAGTTCCTTCTGTCATATGCCAGTGAAAGTGTTTGTCTCACTATTCATGACTTGTCACAGTGGCATAAATCGATATCCAATCACGTAGTTGTTACGACCCTTCATCTGTCGATACCATCACATTTTTATATCCCTTCTCTATGGCTACACGATTTGAATGGATTGTAATCAGAATTCTGACTGATACGCAACCCGAAGTTACGTTCAAACCAAAATATGTGGACCTGTCTATTAAACCGGACGAACCGACCGTAACCAATCCCGAATCGCCGACCCCATCTGGCACCGCTCGAATCTTGTCCCGAACAAGCACTCTAGGTCCCTCATCCATGTTCAGATCCACCCGTGGCCGGGATGAAACCGATCAGGGTAGTGCGCGTCGTTCGCGCACTCGCACTCGCGAGCCGGTTGGTGCGAGTGATGATGAAGACCAGGGTGCTGACGGGGATCGGTCCGGGTTTCGATCTCGTTGGAAGCGAAGTACGTTTGGGAGTCTCTCTCGGCGCAGTCTGTCTGTGTCTAAAGTCTCCGGTCACTCTCGAGATGCCTCTGGTCGAAATGAGACCGATCCGAGCGATGGACTACGTTCCAGTAAACGACTGACCATCAGCCGACCGGTGCTCATCACGAAACCGATCCTACCTGGTACGTTTGTTTCGCCCTCAGTCTACTGCCCTCCGTGTTTGTGTGTGTCTAATGAAATCAAAAACTTTTGTGGGATCTTTACAGCCATTTACGAATTGAAAGAGTCAAAATAAATTCAGTGGAACTAACCCAGATTTTCATATATGACAAGCTTATAAACGGATTCGTCGAACAATAAAAGCATATCACTCATCGTAGGAAAGTTTCGTCAGTTCGGTACATCTGTCTTGTCCTCGTTAGAGATCAACATCAGTTCATACCCACCAATATTCTGATGGCCTTGGTTTCTAGCTTGCTCAGTTTTGAGTCGAGTACATTTCTATTGAGTTGCTTGAACTGATTCCTGCGGTTACTCCCATCTGTGATGCGTTCCTACTCTCAGTCTTGCGACTGTTCAAGTCAATAAGCATGTGACGAATAAATAAAAATGCTTGATGATGTACTGATGTACCGAGTAGGTCCTCATGGCCACTGTTCCTTAAGCGTAGATAGATGTTATTATGACCATAGACATTTCGGACTTTATGAATTCCAACCTAGCAGTTTAACTCGATTTACGTGTCTCATGGTTTGGGGCTTTCGTTCTTTAGATCGAACCAAAGTGTAAACACCCTATGGGATTGGGTAAGCGACGTCTTTGTAAGTTTTTCCCCATAATAAAAATTTGAATTTGAATCCTTAACTTAGCATCTCCACCACCCTACGGACCACTGTCCCCCACATGCAACCGCCTGGCATACGCGGAGCTGTACTTAGCAAAGGCGCGTAACACGTAGGTATGTAAGCTAACATGGACTGCTGATCGATTATCGGAGCCATTGCTCGAAATCATATACTTCATCTCAGCTGGTGCGGCGATACAACGGGATTGTCAAGCCGTCCACAACGATAGCGATTTTTCAAACTGCACTGACAGTATTTGTGTATTCCCAACCTCTCGGCATGCTATGGAGCGAACTGAACCGAATCAGCGTGTATGTTAACACATCATATTTCCCCCTTGTCTGATTTCAACCTGCGCGCCAAACAATTCCGGTACAATAGTCTTTATACCAAGGAACTAGGTCCATCATTTCCAGCGGATTTAATACTACCGGTTTACACCAGCGAAAGCAGATGAATTTCCCTAGAGACTCACAAATACAGCCTTCAGTTTATCAAGACTTGATCCGCAACGCAGCCGCGTGGTGTCTGAACTCCGCGATCCATAGGGAACCGTTGTCCAGTTCATCAGATCATGCGCTCTTTGACCTGTTCAAATGCCAGTATACGCAATACTCATCAATGTCTAGTAATGCCCGGTGACCAGCACCAGAACAAGGAGGGTGGACTTTCACACGTTTTTAGTTGGTTTTCAATCATAGATTTTATCTAATTCCCTTAGATGAACATTTAGGGGTTCATTGACCCGGTTATAGACCAAGATGTTGATTTCTCCTCTCATTTTGGTGGGAAAATACCTCCGCCCCTTAGTAGGAGTATTTTGAAACGCCATGTTGTGATAAAGAGGTAGACACTAACTAGTCGCAACCCTAGAAACCGAGCCCCAACCATACTGGGGTTTTCAGAAACATTACAGTTTCGGTTTCAGTGTGAACAACCATTAACCATGCACTTTCGTGTGCCGGTTTTGGTTGCTGTCTTTCGGCTGCCCATTTGGATAAACAGTAGTTGAAGGACAAGAAAGAAACATTACAGCCTGTACTAGAACGGTATCCTCCTGTAACTTACGTGGATCTGAACTCAGCAACACGACCTAGTATGCGTACTCTACTTTAAATAGTTCTTATCCGGCTACCAAACGTTCTGTACAAGTTTTATCGTGCTCTGTCTACTTTGTCCGTGCCTCTCTTTGCTGTAGTTTTACCTGCTCTTCGCATTCAGTGTCCCCTTCCGCTTACATACGTAAACCTCATGGATAGCTATCATCGCGTTGATTTTCATTGTGATACTTTGTAATCGTAAAAATCTCCTAGGCGTTTGATTATCAACTGGTGGGTGTTCATTTTGCATATCACTCAATGTATCTGTGTATATTTTGCATTATATAATACTCTTCTTTTTGTCAGGTGACCCGTCCTTAGATTCGTTAAACCTTGGTCAATTACCAGCTACCAGTTCCTCAACGTTGACCTCCCTGGGCCCCGGAACGATTGATCGAACTAGTTTGCGCAGTTCAGTCAGTCGGGACAGTTCACTGACCATCGTGTCCGCTGCGAATGACTATCCGCATTCCGGGA